TATTCTTGTTAAACAGGAACCTTTTGATCTTCTCAATTTAACAAGCAATGCATATCTTAAGTAGTTTTTTTCTCTGTTGTGAACCAAATCCTATTCGAAAGCTCAAAGCAGTATTTCATGTTTACTCGATTTCATAGGCACTGTGTGACTTGAAGTTTTCTATTGAATTGATTAGAAGACTTCATATTTGTATATCTAATGCAAAACTTTGTTGTTTGGCAAATGCTAATGCTGCTCTGTACTCGCAAAGTTGAGTTTTCGTTTATTTTGCTTGGCAATCTTTTTTCTTGACTTGTGGCATAGAATCTGTTGAAATGATACTGGCCTGTATTTTGATTAGGAAATTGTTGAAACTCGCTCAAATTTATTGTCAGAATAATATCGTCATTCGATTTCACAAATTCATTAACTCAGCATAAAAGGAATTGTTATTTTCCGAAACACCACAAAATCTAGAAGCTTCTTTTGTCTCTATTTTTTTCATGATGTTTCCTAATGCTTTCAGCTGTGCAAGTAATTCTGAGTCAATGTATGTGAATTCGAAAGCAAAACAAAAACTATATTGTCAATTCGTTACTCAATGATGTGCCTTGATGCTCAAACTCATTACAATTTTATTATTGACTAGGGATCACAAATGGAATCGATGTCACTGAATGGGACCCATCACGTGATAAACATATTGCTTTCAACTACTCTGTTGATGATCTTTCCGGGAAGGTTTTACATTTTCCCTTTGTCACCCTTCCTTTGTATCTTATTAGCTGAAATCTTGTTATCATAATTATTCGTAATGTACAGGCGAAATGCAAGTTTGCTCTGCAGCAGGAATTGGGTCTTCCAGTGAGGCTTGATTGTCCATTGGTAAGTTTGCTATATGCCATGAAAATTAGTTCTCAGCCTTTCTGGTATTGACTATTGCTGAAACTTGCAGATTGGGTTCATTGGAAGACTGGACTACCAGAAAGGTATTGACTTGATCCGCTCGGCAATGCCGGAGCTCATGGAAGCTGATGTTCAGTTTGTAAGTTATTCTATCTGTTCTATAAATACATGTTGTGGCAAGTAATTAAATCCATGGCGTGGTGATATATAAATGAAGGCTGTTTACTTGTAGAGTATAAAATATATCTTGAGACATTGCAGAGTATGCAAACTAAAATTTTAAACATAAAATAAAGCGATTGATCATTTTTCAAATGCAACCTCCTTGTATGAATAATTTCATTTTGAGAGAAATTGAGGCCATAACTTGTGAGTTATGAGGAATGTGTTGTATGCTTGTGACCCTCCTATATGGTTGACAGTCTCTTGTTATTTTTCGTAGGTAATGCTTGGTTCAGGAAACCCTATTTATGAAGATTGGATGAGAGCAGCAGAGTCAACTTATAGAGATAAATTTCGGGGTTGGGTGGGATTTAATGTTCCAATATCTCATAAAATAACTGCAGGGTAATCCAAAAATTTACGAATCCTTTATACGAAATATTGAAGTCATTAAAAATTTCCATACTGAATCTACATCAATATGCTTCTTAATGTATTCCTGGTTTTTCAGCTGTGATATATTGTTAATGCCATCTGCATTCGAGCCCTGTGGACTGAATCAGTTGTATGCAATGAGATATGGAACTATACCCGTCGTTCATGAAACTGGGGGCCTAAGAGTAAGTCAAGAAAATATAAGAAATTGACTAGTTCAACATGATTTCTTTGCCTTAACGCCTTTCTCTTTATTCAGGATACTGTTCACAATTTTAATCCGTATACTGAAGAGGGTAAAGCTGAAAGCACTGGGTATGTTGTCCATGAGCTTTGATTTTTTGTTCTTGTAATATGCATTGCAATATTTTCTTAATAAACCTAACATGTCTTTGGTCCAAGTGAAACGAACACAGTTATATCATAGTAAAAACTTTAGAAATTCCTGGCTGTGAATCAAAGAAGTAAGAGATTGCCTATGCTGATTACTAAGTATAATAGCGTGATTAGAAATAATTTAAATTTGTAAAAAGTAACGTAAGTCTAATAAGTGATCAGATAAACCTTCATAAGCCTGGATAAAATGAGACATGTAACTCTTCCTATTACAAGTTTACGTTGTACGAGCAACCGATTAGGTGGTCACAACTGTCAACTGGAGTTGTTATAGGAAAAAAATATGTAAGTAAACAAAAAGCAGGGCCGTTTATTCAAACTTAGTGTTCTGCAACTATAAACAAACAGTTAGCTTTAACAATATGTCAGATGTAACGTAATCCCAGGACTCAACTAATACAAAATGAATATGTTCATCATATATTGTTTGACATTATTTTGAACTTCATTGACAGGTGGACATTTTCTCCACTAACAAAGGAGATCATGTTAGCGGTAAGCTTGATTTCCTGCCATTCAAATTCTTTGTTTTTATATTAAGCATACTTTGACAGCATCTTAATATATTTAATCTTGATGATTCAATATAATGTTCGTAGTTGTGAGTGTCATCATTTTCTTGTTGTATATGGGGGAAGTGGAAGCTATAAATATATATGGATATTCATTCTTTCTACCAAAACCTATATAAACTTGTCTGAGCTCATCGGGTTGCTACACTTGGTCTACTGAGAATCATGGCATGCTTGGCCTAGTTTATTATAGCTGATGAAATGGTTCTTTGTAGGGATCATTAATCTCTATTTGGCATTGTTATCATTGGGTTGGCTTTCTGAATCTTGTGTCGGCCTCTAGATGTTAAAAACAGCCATATGAAGTTACTAAAACATCAAGGAATTTGTACCAATCTCATCTAACAGTCCATACAGTCTATGGTGGACATGTTGGAACGTGGAACTATTTGCTAACTTTTCTCATTTTTTTGTTCTCAGAACATTGTTTCGCCTGTTTTGTCACCATGATGTTAACTTTTTTACTACTTTTGACAGGCTCTAAGATATGCCATTCAAACATACAAAGAACACAAGTCTTCGTGGCAGGGATTGATGATAAGAGGCATGACAAAAGACTACACATGGGTAAATGCTGCTACTCAGTATGAACAAATCATCAACTGGGCATTCATCGACCCTCCCTATTGCTGAAATGAAGATTGAGTAAATGATCAACGCAAGGATTTCTTCAATAACAGGCTACTTAGAGGATTATCATGCTCATAATTAAGTCTTGCTGATAACAAAAGGGAGACCATAATTTCTTCCAGGGAGGCAGATATAGGGTACATAAAGTCAGCTAGGCATTTCAGAAAGAATTTTTTTTTACACTGATCGAAACTACAATTTGTAACCACGCCAATAGATAGTGCTGGTATAAGTTTTCTACCTTTTTGTTTTTGTACTAGAAAAGGGTTCTAGAAAAGTTAGTTGATGGGACACATTGGAATGTATGCCATGTGAGACTGTGTTTATTGGCAATGGTTAAAAGTGTGAAAAATTACGAGAGCTGTGCTATTGCGAGTGACCGACATGATTTGTAAGATGCGTCAAACTGTGTCTTGTGCATGCATCTATTCGGTATAATCCAGAATCTGACCCCACTTTTTGCGTTAGAGTTGTTTAGGCAAATCCCCAGTGGCCTGCAACCTAGTCATTATATGTGGTTGGGATCCAAAGGGTTTAACTTAAAACTTTAAGATATACATTACTCATATATAACTGTTTATGCAACGAAACTTGTGGGGATTCAAGATATCTAATATGTTTTGATTTAATTAAGGTTTAAATATCTCAAATATTTGAGTATTTTAATTAGGTACTTGTTAATTTTAAAATTTATGTTTTTTTTTTATAAAATCATATTGTTTTAATATGTGTGTGTAAACATTTAAACTTAATTCAAAATATGCAAAATTATGATTTTTAGCATTGAGAAATAGAACAAATAAGAAAAATAATGAAAACATTCATGTTTGATTTTATTGGAAATGAATTGTAAAACTGCATGTTTGTAGTTTTCGGCGTTATTAATATAAAAGAATAATTTAAATTTAAAATTCAAAAATATTAAAATTCGGTTTCTTAAATTTTTTTAGATTTATATTTTTTTTTTCAGGTTCATATTCTATTTGAAATAAGAACGAAATGACTTATTGTATTTAAATATAACTTTACGTATTTTGAATTAGTTAGCAACTAAAAAACATACATGACTATAATTTGTAAAGATTCTTTTACTTTTATTATAGCTTTTAACTATTATAATTTATTTATATATATGAAAAGAGAAAGTTCAAATTACGAATATGATAATAATTATAAAAAAATTGGATCATAATTATTCATTCAACAAAGATTTCTCACAAAAATGTTAAATATTTTCCTCAAATAAATAACATTTTTTAAGTAAAAATGTTCAAAGATCAATTGAAACTGAAAAAAAAAACATTGATTTGGGTTAGATTTATATTGAATTGAATTGAAACATTTAATTTGAGTGATTTAAAAAAAAAACGAAAACTAGTTGCAAACATTCATAATTTTTATTCGTCCATAATGTACGCATACAAAACCTAATCTAATCCAATATACTGTGAAGAAGAAAAAAATGAATCAGATTAGATGATTGGTGTAACCAAACAATAGAACTACAGTTATTCTCTTAAATTTCCATAAATCTAAAATTGGTCCAACATCATAATTTTTTTTTTCTATATTTAAATTCCTTTCTAAAAATGGAACAGTTGTGATATATTAGCTGCAGTTGCGACTAAAAATATAGATGCAGACGAGAGAGAAGAGGAGAAGTACTGTTGAACACAAAAGTTACTAGGAAGAGGTTATTTGGGAACAAACAAGTGTACGTTGATGGTTAGTGATTGCATTGAAATGAAATTGGTATTATAGATTTAGTATTTTGTTGAATATTGTAATTCCTGATGGTGAAAGATGTGACATAGTTTATTGTTATTATTAAATGAAAATGTAAATTGGTTTAGAGAGATTGGCGTAGAGGGTAGTTTATGATGATGGTAGATATAAAAAATAGAAAAAAGTGGAAAAGAGAAAGAAACGAAAGAAGGTGGGACAAGAGAGGAGAAGTTGGTAATTTAGAGGTTAGGAGAAGGACACTTCGGTATGCGGTGTGGTTGGGCGCGGTGCGCAGCCAATCCCATCGCATCATCGCCTACCCTCGCCACTCCTCTCATTTTTAGTAACCTCCGTGCCCAAACCAAAACCCTAATCATTCCTATTCATTCTATTCCGATGCCATAGAAAATAAATATTAATAATAATAAAAAAATAAATCAAAATTCTTGATCCCAGCTTCAGAAGAATTGAATTACCATGATTTCCAATCCCGAATTGATCCACTACGCCTGCATTGCTCGATCGGACACCATTCTGGCCCAGCACCAGAGCGACAAGGAGCCGAACATGGAAGCCCTAGCGGCCCAATGCGTGGCCCAAGCCCCGCCCAACCACTCCCTCTACTCCCACACCGTCAACAACCGCACCTACACCTTCCTCATCGACCCTCCCTTCGTCTTCTTCCTCATCTCCCACCACACCCTCCTCAAATCCCAAACCCTCCCCTTCCTCCACCGCATCCGCTCCTCCTTCCGCCAAACCCTACCCTCCTCCGTTCAATCCCACCACCACTTCACCCCTCTCTCCTTTCAGCCCCAATTTTATTCCATCTTCGACCACGCCCTCACCAACGATTCCCAAGACCGCGCCCTCAGATCGGAACCCCCGCTCAACCCTCCTCCTCAGGGCCTCAAGAAGAAGAAGAGACCCAACGATGCCCCCGCCACGCTCGATGTCTCCGACGACGTTTCCCTCTCTCCTCTCAAGCACCAGCCCCACGACCGCCACACCAAGGCCAAACACGTCTGGAAGAAACACGTATGGGTCCTCCTCCTCCTGGATTTGTTCGTCTGTGCCGTCCTCTTCCTCATCTGGTTGTGGGTCTGTAGTGGCTTCAAGTGCATGACTTATTGATCCCACTTTTCATCTCTCCAACCATAAAACAAAGGTTCTCCTTCTTGTTCTTGTTCTCGTTTCGGCTTCGGTTTTTTTGTCCCTTACTGAGGGATTCTTAGCTTCTTGTTTTTTCTTTTTGATTCACACTTGACAAAGTTGCAGACTGCAGGGCATAAACATGCATGCATACCTGTTATGTATATGTATGTAACTGGGGGGTTCTGTTTGTTTCTTTCCTTCTTTTTTGTTTCCACTTTCCATTGGGAATTTCCTTCTTTTTCTTAATGGGATTTGCATATCAATTATCAAGATCATCTTAACTTATCATCGGCCGTGCTCGATTGTGCAAGATCACATATTCCAGGCGTTCGTTATCGTATACTTTTTTTACCTCCTTAACATTGTTCGTACTTTAGCTTCAGCTTTGTTTAAGGTTTATCTCTTCAATTATTTAGTGATTTTGTTATTTGCTCTGAAATTTGGTAGATGTGGTTGTTTCATGCATGATGTGAAGGATGCAAATCTGTTTTAGAAATTGCAGAAGAGTGTGTGATTAGTTTTTTTTTTATTCTGTTTTCATTTTTAATTAATCAAATGAAAATCTCATGTATCTCATACCAATTTAGGGATCTATCACCGTCTCAGTTGTCAGAGCGTTAATTTCTCTGCAAGATCAGTTAGTTATGTGATTTGTAAAAGGGTTAACAGTTAAATTGTTGATATTGGGAGTTAGTTAAAATTGTAAAAATTATTCGGAAATGTTTGATTGGTCAGTTTAAGTAAATGTTATGAAAGGTTGGCTTAGGTTAGGTTGGGATTCTATGCAATAGCTTTCATACCGTAGTGAGATACAGCACAAACAGAGAGAACTTTTTCTGGTACAAAAACTGAAAGTTTGAGCTCTCCTCGACCAACCCAAATGAGAAGAGGAAAGGAAAAGTTTAGCTATGTTGTCTTTGGGGTCGGTGTGGTGGGACTGGGGAGTGACAATTTCTGTGCTGGCACATTGATGTGTCCAACTATGGACATCTTTTATAGGAAGTGTTCTTACATTGGTCCATGATCGACAAATGGGTTCAGTTTCAGGTGCCATCACATGGGCATCCGACACGTTGCAACCGTCTAGAGATAAGGCAGGATGGAAGCTTGGTTAAATTACTGATATATCTAACAAATCCTTAGGAAAAAAATATCTAATTATTGCGCCAAGTTGGCACCCTAACTTCAGATCTAATGAACATTTCACATTACCCTCTGTGTCATACCATAATCTGATTACTAATTATTGATGATGTCATATGTTTGAAATCAGTATCTAATCTCAATCTAATTTTATCTTTTTTTCATTTTTCTTTCATCTTTTACTAAACATTTAATGGCCCTGATATTATGCAGATCACCTAAAATATATAATCAACTAACTAATCATGCATCATTTGGTGCTTATGACACCAATTTCCAAGAGGAAATGTTTCTTTTCCTCCAATAATTTGGAAAAAGAAAACTTGTACACATATTCTGCTATTATTCTCTAATGAACTGTAAAATTTTATGATGTTAATCTACAAAACAAAATCCAGGATGTGATAACAGTTGTTCTTGTATGACAAATTTATTTAGTTAGCTTTATTGTATTTTTTTATATACTTTATTTTTCATTCTATTTGTATTTATTGTTTTATTTCTGTTCACTTTATTTATTATCTATCATTTTCCTTACATGAAATGGATTCACGGTGTAAAGTTCTGTTTGTTACTAACATATATCTTACTAGTTTTTGCAAGTACGTTGACAACTTATAGTTACGATGATGTTAAAATATATTCAAAGTGTAGTTTGCTAACAAGTTGTTCTCTAATTGAGGATTTAAGATATGACCTGACAATGTAATTCTTTTAACAAATAAATAAATAATTGATGGAAATCGCAATTTATAATGCACGAAAATAATTGAATGTCTGATTTGAAATTATGGGATGTGGGAAAAAGCAGCAAAACTAATTATTTTCTTCCTTTGTTCATTATCTACAATATTAAAGTAATGATTAAGAGATAGCAAGAAAAATAGGTTTTTTCATTAAACGAAACAGATTAGTCACATTTTTTAACATGCATGTCTTAATGCTACCTAACTCACTAGACTTTCTCGTATTCTGCAATTAAATGACAATACCATCGATACTTGTTCATTTAATTGTGTTGCGTGCGACTACATCTTATTTATCTCGCATATAGATACACTACATTGTTCCTTTTTCTGGTAAACTTCTGCGTTTCTTTGTAAGATTCTATAAAACTTGCCTTATATATATATATATATATATATATATATATACCTATAGATTTGCCCAATAAAGGACTTAAATATTATATTCACAATTTGAGTTCGACTGAAATCAAATAAAAATATGATTAGAAAAGGATTATATCAAAACTGTTTTACCTATTTTTTTATATTAATTCTGGATCAAAATTAATGATATTTCCGCAAATAAAATCATACAAAATTACCACCAATCATTTCTAAACTTCATCATAAAAATAGACAATGGGTTGTCTAGTAATTCTGTTATTTTTTTCTCTATATGAATTTTCAAATAAAATTTTATTACTGCAGTTTGAGAGGGACTTTGGTTGAAATTATTGCGTTAGTAGTTTAGTGAGCGTACACCGACATAACTATTTCTATTGAATTTGAATAATTTAATTCCGATAATAAATCTTTGACTCTTTCTTACTTGTGCAATATTTAATACATGAAGAATAATCAATATTTTTAAAGCATTTAGCTTCTTTTTATGCCAAAACAAATTCTAAAACCCATGCAACATTGTGATCTCGATATTTCATGAGTTCCTCTATTTAGGGATCATGATAAACACAACTTTACATATGTCTCCTATATATAAAAGAAATCAATCCAAGTTAGGAAGGAGAGTATTTTTATACACACTTTCTTTCTTAGAAACTATGAAAATATTACACTATAGAACATGTAAACTATAACATTTAGAAATTTCTAAAGCCTTTTCGAAAGAAACAATATAACTATGAGATAGTGTATTGTGCGATGGATAAACACAAACTTTTATCTATATTTATTCCTATATCTAAAAGGAAATCTATCAAAGTATAGAAGGAGAGTATTTTTATACACACTTTCTTTCCGTAGAACTATGAGAAATTATCTTATACATGTAAACTATAACATTAGAAAATTTTCTAGCCTTTGTCGACGGAAACATACAAACCTATGAGCAATAGTTGTATTGTGGATGGATAAACAACTTTATCCATTATTTATCATCCTATATCTAAAAGAAATCTTATCAAAGTATATCGAAGCGAGAGTATTTTATACACACTTTCTTTCAGTAGAATATGAGGAATATATCCTATAACATGTAAACATAACATTTAGAAAATTTTCTAAGCCTTTTCGAAAGAAACAATACAACTAGTTTGCTTGCACAACGAATTTGGATTTTCTTTCCTAATTTTCACAAAGATTTTTTCAACATCATTTGATATCCGATGTTCTTACTCGTCACATGTTCAAACCAATAAACACATAATTTCTTGAAATAAGTGTATTTTATAAAGATTTTTGGAAATAAAGAGTTAACTTTCTCAAATTACACTTGTAACTTATTGCATGCAAAGATTTAGTTTATCTGGTGGTTTTATCACTTGCCTCTAAACAAGTTTTAGACTCTCATCCTAATGGTAAGTGACAGAATAACCTATCCTCGTTAAAGAATGGCTATCGTATACGTATGATATAAGAGAGAATATAGTATTGTACAATATATTATATGTCAAAATATCAATTTATATATAAAATATATATATATAATGATATATATATATAGGTTTGTTAATGAGTATTTAATTTCTACAATGGGTATAAAATCTTTCCGTTATTATTAAGTTTCAAAAAAAAAAAAAAGTGATTATTTTACCATTAAAAATATAATTTAGGTCAACTTTATTATAAATGAGAAATAATTTCACTATAAATATGTAGCATTAGAAATTATTTGAATTTTTTTCAATTTATAAACTAAATTAGATTTTTTTGTGTTTTAATTTTTTTAAGAACAAAATTGGTATCATTTAATAGTAAAACTAAATTGGTCTTTCACTCTTATTAATAAAAAAAGTATTGAGGGCATCTTTTTTGACTTAATAATTTATTTTGTTTCATCATCTTTAAAAAGTCTCAATTAGCTTACCATTTCAAAAACCATTCAATATATTATTTTTCATCAACCTTGCTAAATTGTCTAACAAAAAATGATAACATCATTGATAACTTTTTTTTTCTCTCTTTAAACTCCTATAATTGATCAAACTCAAAGTTTAGGAGCTGCTTTCCACCTACGAGTTCCTCAATGAAGACACCCCTATTGTCTTAGGTTACATGATCTTAACCCTTGAAAATTTTCATGGTGAACCTACACAACATTAGTGAATGAGTCAACAACTCTATCAACTCCGTGAACAAAGTTGACCACAAAAATTTTCATTCCTGGAATGAAATTTTGTTGAGATTTTATGATATTTTTGTGCGAATGAAATATTATATTTGATGATCATAAATATAATTTAATGATCCTTCTTTTTTATTTAGATTTGAATTAGAAAATTTTTATTTTTTAATTGAAAAAGAAAAGCTTGTAATTGACAAAAAAAAAATATAAAAATCAATGTTTTTTATAACAGCAACAATATGCCGAAAATGTACAATTTAGTTAGAAAAATTTGATTATTTTTATGACCAAAACGATGTGAGGATGTCGCACCAGTTTCATGCTGAAACCTTGTGCTTGATTTGTTTCACCAATCACTCTTTCTTCAACTTTTTTTTCTTTATGACCTTGATGGCGACGTTGTCATTGGTGAAAAATTGGGAAATGTGTTGATCATAGTGCAACTAATGGGCCAAGAGAGGACGAACATTCTGAATTAGTGGAGATGGGAAGAACCTAGATGAGAAAGATTGATGCTTTTGAGGAATATGGTGTCCGACAGACATACCAAGTTCCGAAGAAAGCATTCAAAGGGGTTTAAAATCTTCATGGTGCATGTATAATGAAGAAGAAGAATACCCACTAGAGTGACATATGAAACAGATGAAACATGAAGTAGAAGAAGAAAACAAAATCCCTAATATATTATTTTAACATAAACCAATTAAATTTTGTCATGGAATCTCTTAATTTAATAAAAATTACACATAATAAAACAATTAACATCAACATATTATAATTGTGCGACACATCAGCATCTGTTAACGACGTCTGTCAACACTTAACAGAAA